AAAGGGCTTATGATAGAAACCCAAGGCACGCCATTTTTTAGAAGTCACATAGAAGAGGGGAGGGTTAGCAAAGGAGATTGGGTAGCCTGGTTTTCATAGGAGGAAAACCAGGAGAAAGTGTTGTCACATAACACCTTTACAAGAGAGTCACCATTGCCATTGAACATTGCTGAAGGCGCAATAAAAAGCAGACAGAGGTTTGTCTTGATATGACCCCATGGGAGTTAATGTACCTTGGTAAGAGCAATGACTGTACAAGCTGAATTGGGAGTGAATGGAAGATAATGGGGCAAGGAAGTGGGTGCAAACAGTGTGTGTAGACAACCACTTTCAACATTTTGCTATAAAGTGAAGAGAAATGGAGTAATAATAAGAGACATTTTTGTCTCATTTTGTGACTGTTAGCTATAATGCTGACTGCATTAAGAGGTCATAAAAATTAAATCCTTTTATTTGACCTTGGTCAATTCTTTACCCAGCCCCTTGATATGTATTTCAAATCTTCACCACTCTCTTGGAGACCCTTATTCAACTTCTATCCCCTTGTTTCAGCAAATGACTTCACCTCCTACCTCATGGAGAAAATAAAGGTGTTCTTGATGAACTTACTGGAAACTTATCAATAGGCAGCTGATCTAATTTCTTCTTTTAGAACAAAATGCCTTTTCTCTAGATCATGGCTAAGTTCTATTCCATTTCTTCCTTTCTCTGCCAAGAACCTATCTAATTTATTATGTGTTATTTACTTTTTTGAGCTTTTACCTTTTTATAGTACACTGGAGGCCTGGTGCATGAATTCGTGCACCAGTGGGGTCCCTTGGCCTGGCCTACAGGATAGGGCTGAAACTGGCTCTCCAACATCCCCTGAGGGGTCTCTGATTGCGAGAGGGTGCAGGCCAGGCTGAGGAACCCCACCAGTGCATGATCAGGGCTGGGGAGGGACTTGGGACGTTGGCCAGCTGGGGAGGGACCACAGGAGGGCTCCAGGGTGTGTCCGGCCTGTCTCGCTCAGTCCCAATCGGCTGGACCCCAGCAGCAAGCTAACCTACTGGTTGGAGCGTCTGCCCCCTGGTGGTCAGTGCATGTCATAGCAAGCAGTTGAGCGGCCTTAGCATATCATTAGCATATTATGCTTTGAATGGTTGAACAGACAACCGGACACTCAGCATATTAGGCTTTTATTATATAGGATAAGAATTCTAAAGGCTCTCCCATGTTAAAATATATTGATACCAAAACATTTTTTCTACAACTTATGTCCCTGTGATCATTTCATCTCTCTTCTTCTCTTTAAACTACACCTCTTGAAAAGAGAGTCTACATTTATTATCTGCAAACACTTTATTCCTTTAAACCAGTGAAATCTTGCTTTTGCCTCCATATATCTGTTCAATTTTCTAGCAATAATCTCCCAATTACCAAAGCTAAAGGATACCTCTCATTCCTCATCTTAATTTTATAAGATAATGAGAATAAATTTTCATAGCACTGTAATTAGAATTATTCAATTATTTTTGTAATTATTTTATTATTTAGTTAATTTAATTCCCCAGAATAAAACCTTCACATCCCCAGGTGATTTCTCATATGTGGGTCCTAGCAGACTGTCCGTCACCTTTTAGGCATTTGGTAAATGTTTGTTGAATGGATGAATGGACAAGTGGATGATGAATAAAAACACAATCCTTGTCCTCAAGAGACCACAAAAGAGTTCACAATCTAGTGAGGAGTTGGCATTCTATATAACACACATGTGTTGGAAATTTCAAGAGTAGAAAATCATATGACATCCACCCAGCCCACACACTAGAATGTGAAATGTCAGTAAATTGCCATCTGTCATTCTTAACTAATGAATCTGTCTATAAATTTGAAATATTAAGTTTTAAATTTTGTTATAATTACTTCATAAGAAATAGAATATAATTTAAATAGTGGGTCATAAAAAAGGTAAGAAAAGTATTTTATAATAACTTTAATATATAAATCTAAATTCTCATATTTTGAAGGTAAAAGATCTGGATTTAACCTATGTGAGGGTCTTTTATGGTATCATTAAGTCTCCGTGTACAAGAGAGCTACAGCTCTTTTAGCCCAACTATTTGTATGGTATAAAATAATGTTCTTTATAATGTTCTCCAGAAAGTTCTGATCAAATCAGTGCCAGGAGACACCTGTGATAGGAAACATATTTCCTTTTATGGTATCCAATTTCTGGATTATTAAAACTCTAAATTCTCCTTAGCATAATACCCTCTAGGTACTAAGTGAAATAAGTTACACAGAGAAAGACTAATACTATATGGTTTCATTTACATGTGGAATCTAAAAAAGCAAAACAAACAAACAAATAAAATAAAACAAAAACAGATTGATAGAAAAGGAGATCAATTTGGTGGTTTCCAGAGAGGAAGGGGTTTGGGGATGGGTGAAAAGATGAAGGGAGATGTAGTCAATAATATTGTGACAGGTTTGCAGAGTAACAGATGATTATTAGACTTAGATGATCACATTATAAGCTAGGTAAATGTTGAATCCCTATATTATACATCTGAAACTAATATAATAATAAACAACCCCCTCTAAATTCTAGAAAACTAGCTTCAAGTAACTTAAATTGGTCCAGTTTAACTATTTAAGTTGGCTGCTTTTAGCCACCTGAATTAGAGCTCATATATTTTTTTTTGAAAAGGGGAAATATAAGGATTTATTGTGATGCTTGGGGCAAAAATGGGGGTCAATTGAAGGAGGAATGGCAAACATATAGTAAGTAGTGGTATTAAAAATTTTGTGTGACTGAATAAGAGGTGTTAAATATTTTATTTATTGATTCATATAACAAATGTTTAATGAATGTGTTAGATATTATGAGTATTGCAAATCATTTCACTGTTTTGACCACCAATAATGTTTCCTGAGTTGAGTATTGAAATGTGGATGGGTAGCAAAATAAGGGAAAGACATTCCTTTATTCAACACATTTTTATAGAGCACCTGAAAAATCCAAAACGGAAAAAAAACAACACAAATGAACAAATTTAAAGATTTAGGGACAATCCCAGCTTCTGTTGCTGACAGTTTCTGCATATATCTGGTAGGTTTGAGCTTTCATTTTCATTGCATGAGCAAGGCACAGAATAAATACTATGACATGTGCAAGATGGAAGTACGGACACTCCCCAAATTTGAGTCTTCCCAAAAGATGATGTCATCAATGAAAGACTAAAGGAGGAAAATAAAAAGTCTTGCTTTGTAAGAAGGAATGGCAAAGAAACTTGAGTTTCTTAGTCTTGGCTTTAGAGAAGGAAAAAAAAGTTTCCTCTTATAATGTACTAGAGGCCTGGTGCATGGATTCGTGCACTGGTGGGGTCCCTCGGCCTGGCCTGTGCCCTCTTGCAATCCGGGACCCCTCGGGGGATGGCCAACATCCCCTGAGGGGTGTAATAGTGTGCAAAACAGCAGGTGGCCAGGGAGGAGCCTGAGCCCAGGCTGGGCACTGCGCAGCTCCTGCTCATCCCTTCCCTGCTGTGCCTGCTGCCACTGTCTCTCGGTAGTGCTGCCATGGAGGCAGGAGAGGCTTGTGTTGCTGCAGCTGCTCTCGCCAGCAGTAAGCACGGCTTCTGGCGCCCATTAGTCAGCTGAGCAGAGCTCCCACTGTGGGAGCGCACTGACCACCAGGGAGCAGCTCCTGTGTTGAATGTCTGCCCCCTGGTGGTCAGTGCACATCATAGACACTGGTCAAATGGTCAACTGGTCACTTAGGGTTTTATATATATAGATAACCACAAACAAGCTCAGAATCCATATTGCTGGTATCTCAAAAACCCCTAAGTGAGAAATTAGTTTAATGTTGTTATGAGTTGAAAGTTTTCTTAACTGCCTGGAGGAAAAATTTCTTGAGAAATGGATCTTAATCCCAGCTTGCAAATAATTCCCATTCCTATGGAATGAGTTTACAATTTTAAAAAATAAAAAAAGAAATCAGCCACTGTGAGTGAGAGACATAGCCTTTCAGCTCCCCCAAAATGAAATTAGATTTACAAAGACCATAGATAGTATTTTCTGATACAGGATAGAAAATATGTATGCATAATACGTTTTAAAAGTAAAAGTATAAATATATGAATGAACTAGAGACTATAAATATGTATAAGGCCTAGCCGGTTTGGCTCAGTGAATAGAGCATCAGCCCAAGGATTGAAGGGTCACAGGTTAGATTCTGGTCAAGGGCACATACCTCAGTTGTAAGCTGGATTCCATGGACCCGGACAATATTGAGTATTATTATGATTAGGAATGCCGTCTCCCAGAATGGCCTGCCTGGGTTTGGATATTGACTCTACCTACCGGCTAGCTGTACATATAACCTCGGGAAAGTCAACTTCTGTTTTTTGGCTTCAGTGTCCTCATGTGTAAAAGAGAGGTAAAAATAGTACCTAATTTAGGGGGTGGTGGTGGTTGTGAGAATAAAGTATGATACAGCAATCAGCACACTTTGCATGTGACAACTGTTTTTAAGTATTTCTATTTTTAAGACTCAAACTTATAAATTCTTTCTCTACTTCACCTTAATATGACATGTCTCAACCTACCATATTTCTTGAAATAAAGGGTGTCTTTTGAGCTCTATAGTTACCCTCAAAAGTAAGCAAGGCAGGCATGACCCTTTTTCCCTCATTAGGTACCTGAGGCTCCATGAGCCCTGGGGGCAGTAGAACAAAGTGATGAAGGGATGCAGGTTTGTTCCATGGCTCCGCATCTTTCTAATTACCATATCATGAGTAATCTGCTTTCCTCATGTATAAAAGGGATTGATCATAGTACTTCGACAGCAAAACAAACAAACCAGAAACAGTTGTAAGGCTTAAGTATAAGATGATTCATAGGAAATACTATCTAACACCCCTGGTAAATTATGAGTCAGCAAATATTAACTTTCTGTTCTTCATTTCTCCAAAATTTTTATATTTCATGTTCTACATTTTCAATCTAAATTATAGAATGTAGTTGACTGTGCTTTTCTGTCAGTTAGCATCGAGGCACTACTAGTTCGTAAATAATTCTAAACCAGAGGGTTTCATCTCATATATTCTATCTTTAATAGACCCTGGCTAGTAGCTAGAAGGTGCTTGATGTATGGCAAGATTTTGTCATAATGTTTCAAACTATATGTTAGTCCCATTGCCTGTACAAAATGGAAAGTAATAGGTGTTTTAGAAATGCTTATGTAATTTTCTCTTTGGACTCTAAGGACTAGATTTTTCTTTTTAAAGCAGAATCTTTGCCTTTTCCGGATTTTAGTCTTTCTATCAAATGGATGGTATTTCTGGAGCACTCAGTGTTCCTATTTATATTAACTAATGATTGCTAAATTATTTTAAAATATCAGGCTCGCCTATAAAAACTAAGCCTTATGGTGATTGGGAGGATAATAATGCTGATATGTGTAAACGAGGCCGCTTGTATCCATTGGGATCTGCTGTGCTGTCGCACACACTTCTCGGGGAGCTCGCTCTTTCTTGATATATGTAGTTCATTTACTCTATGCTTTCAGTGCTAAATTTTAGTAATTGCAAAACATCTGAGGAGCATGGGCCGAAAAAAACCACTCAAATGTGTTTTTAGAGCACCTCTGTGTTAGTAATTTTTTTGAAAAATATTGTACTACTTGTTATTAAAAAAAATCTGTGATTTGCAATTTAATTTGAAAAAAATGCACTTACAACTTGAAAACAAATGGTATACAATTAAAGCTTTTTTTTTTTTTTTAATTCCAGAGCAAGTTCAACTGGGTAAAATAGTGACTAATATTGAATCAGTGGGTAAAAAAATGGAGAAAGAAAAGCAGGAGTACCATGGAAAGCCCAGGTAATGTGCAATAAGCTAACCCATAGAAAACATAATTTTATTCTACTTTGCCAATATTTCCTGACCAATTCTTGTGGTTTCTCAAGTTTATTAACATCCCATGCACGAGGCTAATTTATCCTTCTGCTTGAGTCCCTCAAAGCATATCAATTATCAAAATTTTAGTTTTTAGTTCAATTAACTTTTGAACTGGAGGATGTGTGAATAGCTAAGCAAACCATCTGGGTTTTACAGTGCATAAGCTCAAATCCAATTTGTGGTTTTCTTGAGAAAAATGCCATATTTTATGATAATATTACAGAAGTTTGGGGTTTTAATAACTCATCTGCAACAATTATGGAACAGAGTTTTTATAACTTTTTCTTTTTTAATTTAATAATTTCAAGTTATTCTTTTTTCTAACAGAAGGTGCATCTGATCCTACAAAGCCAGTTAGAAGGCAGACATGTTGAGTATTGCTTCCGCTTTCCGAAGGTGGAGGGAGATGGGTCAGTTACTTTGTTAAATTATCCCACTAAATAGCATCATCCTCTTCAAGATAATTTTACAATTGAGTATATAAATATTGGCCCTAAAGCTACAGCTAGACCTTCTAAAGGCCTTTTGGCACATTTCGTAGGAACATTTATACTTGTAAATACTGCTCTGTTAAAATGTTGTTATTTTTTTCAGAGCCTTGTTTTACATTATTATTATGACATGATCAGAAATGTGGAGTAATTAGCACAATTATAAAAAAGAAATTTGAGAAAATGTTGCCATGGCGATACAGAATATCATTGCTCTTCCAATATTTATTGCTGCAAACTGTGCTTAATCCTAGAAGATCCTTGCTGAGAAGTAATTGTCCTCTTGGCTAATGCATAATAAGATACTCAAGTTTGGAAGAGTGTAATATATGTAGAGCTTTAATACTAAGGGTTTGGTATCCGTGATAAGATATTAATTGTAAAGGAACAGAAATGATTACACTGGAAATGTACTGGTTTATAAAAATTTCCTTTCTGCCTTTACTTAATTTAACCCAAGGCCCAGGTTGGTCTAGCAAGTGGTAACTGTTAAAAGAGAGTTAATATAGCAATTTAACAAAATAATCTAGAACTTCAGACTAACTAGTGTGGCTTAGTTGGTTTGAGTGTCACCTCATACACTACTAAGAGGTTCGATCCCTGGTAGGGTGCATGCGGGAGGCAACTGATTGATATTCTCTCTCACATTGATATTTCTCTCTCCCTAAAAATCAATGAAAAACATAACCTCAGGTGAGGATTAAAAATATAGTTTAGAATTTCAAGTAAGATTTTAATAACTAGAAACATTAACTAATTTGAAAACTTACTATTTTCAGTATATTTATTTGGGGCCAGTAACCCAAGGAAGAAGAATAATGACTTAGGGACAAGTGGACACTTATTAACAATAAATCTGTTCATTTATAATGTTTTTCAATATGTATTGCTTAAGAAAGTTGAATATCTATCAAATAATTAATTTTTCTGTAACTGGTAGAAGATAAAGGTTTCTCTACACCCAATTGCCCTATCTTTAATGAAAACATGTCTTGCTTAATGAGGAAGATCACCCCTATGGAATTAAGAGCAAGTACCTGTACTTCCAATGACAGCCTGGAGCACATATGCCTGAACTTAAATCCACCCAGATTTCTAGCTACGTTATGACAGTAGCTTGTTTCCTACCTTAGCAGTTAGCGTCATTTTATTAATATTAGAACTGTGATAGAAATGCAGAAGGAAAGACAAATAATTGTTTTGGGACATTATAGCTCAGGGTTTTAAAAAAAAACCTTTGCTTAATTAGACAGATAAAATGTCATTACACTGAAATTTTTATTGAAATACTAGAGGCCCGATGCACGAAATTTGTGCAAGAGTAGGCCTTCCTTCCCCCAGCTTCCAACACCGGCTTCCCTCTGGCACCGGCAAGCACCCAGGACCCTGGCTTTCCTTGCAGCCCCGGCTTTGTCCGGAAGGTCATCCGGAAGGAGGTCCGGTCTAACTAGCATATTATGCTTTTATTATTATAGATAGTTTTCCACATAATCAAGATAAGGAAACTTAGCAACAGAAAGGAAAATTGAATTAGTCAGGAAGTCAGGTGGGATTGTTAACAGTGCAGGGATAGACTCTAGGACTAATTAACATCAATTGACCAACTGTTTGTGACACTCAAAAGCTGTGGTACATTTATACCAGGGAATACTATGCAGCGGTAAAGAAGAAGCATCTCTTACCCTTTGAGATAGCATGGAGAGACCTGGAGAATATTATGCTAAATGAAATAAGCCAGTCTGAGAAAGACAGGTATGGCTTGATCTCAGTCATACGTGGAATCTAAAGAACAAGAAAAACTATGAACAAACTAGATCCAGAGACATAGAAGCATGGAACAGACCATTGGATCTCAGAGGGAAGGTGGGGGTGGGTGGGAAGAGATTAACCAAAGAACTTGTATGCATATATGCATTGCCCATGGACACAGACAATAGTGTGGTGAAGGCCTGGGGTGGGTGTGGGCTAGAAAGGGTCAATGGGGAAAAAAGAGGGACATCTGTAATACTTTCAACAATAAAGATTTAAAACAAAAACAAAACAACTACAAAAAAACCTAGTGCTCAGGGTTGAGGATAAAAAAAAAAAGTTCCTGTTCAAGATAAATGGACCGCTGTGAGAGCAGTTGTATGTAAACTACTTACAATTCTCCTGAAGATGCCTTGAAAAATACTATTTTTGAACTTTTTAGGTAGGCCATAAAAATATTGGCCCAATGAAAGAAATTTCTTTGGATAATAGATGAAGAAATAGGATAGAATCTTATAAATGTATGATTTATTTCCTTTTCCCCAAGTTATCTACATCTGACTTGCAGAGGGAAAACAAAATTAAAATACTTCTACTTTTTAAAATGTAAGTTCAAGGACGTGCAATTCTTTAATGTAGCTTTGAATTTTAACTTCAAAGATTAATATCATACATTAACATACTCTTTTTATGACAATAATGATAAATGGGAGTATATTCTAAATGTTGATTTTCCACCAAGGAAATTCATTTGTTATTCACTTATTTATCAAAGAGGATTTTTCAGTTGATAATATTTAGTGCATTTGGAAGTATGACAACTACATTTTTAAAATATGTTTTTATTGATTTCAGAGAGGAAGGGAGAGAGACATAGAAACATCAATGATGAGAGAGAATCATTGATCAGCTGCCTCTTGCAAGCCCCACACTGGGGATTGAGCCCACAACTCTGTCATTTCACTTTAATGTTTATAAAATATTTTGCTTAAGAGGATGAATTGTGGTCCACCTCTTTTAGAATCTTTCATTAATAGGGAATAATTTTTTAAACATGCAATTAGTGGTTCTAATTTGGAGCTTTGGCTCAGGGTTTTAAAAAAAACAAAACTTTAAACATGGATCAGATAGGAGAAAGCAAAGCAAACTATGACTAATCAGTTTATCTTGGCCCAGTTCTTGGTGGCATACAAATAAATTCTAGAATCTCAAATGGAGTTGTACAAAATTACCTGAATACTTATTTGACTTCTTATATTTTCCCTTGGCTATATGACTATGTTATATTAGGGGTACCTCATATCTTTAACTACCTGCATGAGTGTGACCACATGAGTGATGACTAGACTAATGGGTCTTATAAGTCAGTCATTTATTTACTATTTAATGAATGCCTACTATATGCCTAATGCAAAACTCTGAACAGGACAGTTACACTCTCTTCTCTCATGGGCCCTATTCTTTGATGGGTAAAATGTTTTAAAATCCTAACATTTTCTTTAACTTGTATATGACATGTGAATTAGCCATTTAATTTCTAGGCATGTATAATAACAAAATAATTGGACAGGTGCACAGATATGAATACTCAAAGACTTTTATCCTTGTTTACAAACAACAACAAAAATTGAAACAACCCAAATGCCCAACAAAAGAAAATTCATAAAACCATCAATATGTTAAATTCTTACAGTGGAATCTATACTAATAAAAGGGTAATATGCTAATTAGACCAACATCTTCCAGATGTCCTTCCTGACAAAGCCAGGCCCGGGTGAAGCTGGCTGCGGTCCCGGGTGCCTGTTGCCTACCAGAGGGAGGGAAGCCCAGGTTCTGGGTGTGGGGCCAAGGCAGAGGCAGTTAGGGGCAATCAGGCATGCAGGGGAGCAGTTAAGGGTGATCAGGCTGGCAGGCAGGGGGGTTAGGGGTGATCAGGCAGGCAGGCAGGCAGGCAGGCAAATGGTTAGGAGCCAGCGGTCCCGGATTGCAAGAGGGATGTCTGACTGCTGGTTTAGGCCTGATCCCGCATCCCCCGAGTGGTCCCAGATTGGAGAGGGTGCGAGCCAGGCTGAGGGACCCCCCACCACTGTGCATGAATTTCGTGCACCGGGCCTCTAGTCCTAATATATAAAAACCAAGGTCCATAATGGCTGACCGAAGGCTCAACCAAACACCAGAAGTCAGTCCTGTAGTCAGTGCTGGGTTGCTGTGGTGACCCAGCACTGACTGCCGAGGGGGCTACGGATCAGGCCCAGGGAGAGAGAGGCAGGGTCTGATCCACAGCCTCTGTGGCAGCTATTGCCTCTGTCTTTCTCTCGGCGCTTCGCCAGCAGCTATGCCTCTCTTTCTCTTTCTCTCCGGGCCTCTGCGGGGGCTGCTGATCAGCCCTGCCTCTCTGATCAGGCCCAGAGATAGGCCCAGAGATGCTGACTGGCATAGAAACCGACCAATCAGAACCAAATCTGAGTGAACTGTGAGGAGCCAATGGCTGCCTAGGAGGCAGAGCTTTTGATGCTGACTGGCAAAGAAACCAACCAATCAGAACCAAAATGTCTGGCAGGGGAGGGCAGTTGGGGGCGAGATCAGGCCTGCAGGGGAGGGCAGTTGGGGGTGAGATCAGGCCAGCAGAGAATTGAAGTTAGGGGTAATCAGGCAGGCAGGCAGAGGCATTTAGGGTGATCA